TTGAGACAAGATTGGTCTTGAACACCTATTTATTTATTTATGTATTTATTTTTTATTCCGGTCTCTCTGTGTAGCACTGGCTGTCCTGGAACTCGCTCTGTAGACCACATTGTCCTTGAATGGTGTGGGTCACTATGGCAAGGCTCTTGAACGCTTCTGTGTTCAAGCTAAGAATGGATCTGAATTTCTGGTCTTGTTGCCATACTTCTCAGGTGCTGGGATCACCAAATCGGGGAATGAACTGGGTGTGGTGGAGCGAGCTTTAATCCTAGCACTGATGGTTAGAGGCAAATGAATCACCAGGAGTTCCAGCCCAGTGTGTTCTACACAGCATGTTCCAGGTTAGCCAAGGTTCACAATGAGACCCGAAAGCAAGCGAGAGAGAGAGAGAGAGAGAGAGAGAGAGAGAGAAAGCAGATAAATAATAGATCCAGTCACCATTATTTTGTCACTGATAATAAAATAATGACAGCCAGAATTGACACACGACACTTGTGACTTTTGACTATCTCTGTACATGTGTTTATAGCTGCTAGGTGCCAGGCATGATGCTGGGGTGTGATGATCCATGTCCCCATTCCCGCCCTGGCAGCCTGATTCTAGGAGGGCCCAGCTGCAGACACAGCAGATAAAGAGTTCTCACTCTCACTTTTTTTTTATAGGTAAAATAATAAAGGAGGGTATGAATCTGCAAGTCAGGAGTAGACAGAGAGCAGAAACGAGGCCTCTAATCTTCTCATCAAAAACATGCACATAATTAATGCACCACCTTTGCCAAGAAACTCTGCCTCCCTGGGTCCAGTCCCAGCTCGCTTTGGCTGGCTGCCAGGCTGCAGTTGGCAACTGGGTATTTAAGCCCAGTGTATGGTAACAGCACTCTTAAGAGTTCTTTTGTTCACAGGCAGGATGTATCCTGAAAACAGTAGCTGATTTTGTGGAAAGTTATCAGTATTTTCCATAAGATAAATTTATAGCTAGTTGATTGTTGAGTCATTTAAAAAAGTATTCCCCCAAAAGTTCTGGGGAGCAAAGCCAGGGCCTTGTGCATGTAAAGCAAACACTGCTATTGACCTGTAACTTTTCCTTCTTCTGAGACAAAATCTCCTATAAACCAGATTGGCCTTGAACACCCATTTAGCCAATAATGGCCTTGAATTTCTGATTCTGTGGCCACCACCTCTCAAGTGCCGGGATGACAGGAGTGAGCCACCAGATCTGATCATATCTGGGGAATGAATCCCTGGCCTCCATCAAGCCTGATAACCCCAGTTTGAGCTCCAGTACTCTGTTTGTTGGTTGGTTGGTTGCTTTGTTGTTTTAAAAAAAAAAAAAAAAAAGCCAGATGTGTGGTCAGCCTCTGTAATCCTGGTACTCCTAAGGAGAGACAGGAGAAAGAAAAGTGGCAGAGAAGCTAGCCTGGCATACACAGTTTAACAGCAGAGTAAACTGCACACATGTGTGCTATGATATGTGCACACTCCTACACACGTATCAGCTACATCACACATATGTACATGCTAAGAAAAGTGTTCTCAGGTTGGCAGTTATTAAAAGTTAAGATATTGTGGGGCGCAGTGGCACACGCCTGTAATCCCAGCACTCTGGGAGGCTAGCACTCTGTGAGTTTCAGGCCACTCTGGTCTACAAATTGAGTCCATGAAAGACAAGGCTACACAGAGAAAAACTGAAAAGAAAAAAAAAAAAAGTTAAAATATCAATAACCTCTGAAAAATATTAAGCTATTCTATATCCTGTAGTTCAGCCAAAAGTTTAGCTTTGGTTATTTGTGGCACTAGGAGTTGAACCTACGGCCTTTTGTGTGCTAGGGAGGCACTCTTCTACTGAGCTGCGTCTCCTGAAGTCTTTAGAGGCAAGGTCTCACCTCAGGCTGGTCCTGAATGTACTTTACAGTCCAGTTAGGCCTTGAACTTGTTATCCTCATGCCTCAGTCTCACAAATAGCTAGGATTGGCCAAGATTCAATTCTTCGGGTTTCTTTGTTGTTGTTGTTTTCTTGTTTTGTTTTATGATAGGGTTTCTCTATGTAGTTCTGGCTATCCTGGAATTCTTTGTGCAGGCCAGGCTGGCCTCAAACTCAAAGAGGTCTACCTGCCTCTGGAGTGCTGGGATTAAAGGCATGTGCCACTATGCTCAGCTCAAGATTAAACTTTTTTAATAATGGTGGGAGCAGTAATTGGCATTTTGTGTAAAATAAGAAACAGTATCCTCATTAGGTAATTTTCATGTTAAAATGCATATGAGAAACCGAATCAAAACTAGTTTCAGTAAACTGAAACTAGAGCCATTCAGCAACACACGGCTCAATTCCACTTCTAGGAAATTAATTAGGAAAGTATGTGGGCTTTCTGGAATTCTCTGTCAAAACCTATCAGTAGCAACGAATCACTTACTGAAGATTTATATTCATAATGTCACAGATGGTAATGGGCAGAACACAAATCCAGGCCTAGCTCCTCAACTGAGAACTTTCCCCATGAACACATTTAAAAATGAACATACAAAATGAGATCATCGTGTGCTGCACTGATTTCAGGCAGCTGAGAATACATCGAATAATCAAATAAAATGGTGAATGGTAAGTATGTCCGTGGAATTTGAGGTACTCCCTGACCTTCTGGTAATAATAGCTAATCCTCAAATTAATCTCATTAAAGATGTGTTTGAGGAATTATAACATCCCACACATGGGACAGGAGCAAGAGGAGGGAACACACTGCCATGTCCTGCTTTAAGATCTTGGCACCAGGACTGATATTGTGATTGACACGATTAATGCTGTCAATGTTTCTAGGCATGACTATAAAACATTTCCAGGGATCCCTTCTTGACCTACCTGGGTTCAGGTTTCTTTGTTAATCGTCTCTTATTACTAGCTAGTTATCTTGCAGAAATCCCTCTGTCTCTGGCCCTAGGCCATCCTCCAAATGTGTATCCAGCTCTCAGAATCTGTAGGGGGTTGGTTACAGGACTCAACGAGGATACCAAACTGCTCAGGTTCCTTATATAATTAATACAATATATTTATATATCCAATGCATACCCCCTTATATTTTAAGTTTATTGAGTGTGTCTGTGTTTCATATGTATGCATGTATTCACAACACTTGTGTTTGCTGTCCTTGGGGGGACAGAAGAGGGCACTGGAGGAACAGAAGAGGGCATTGGAGGTCCTGAACTGGGAGTTATGGAAAGCTGTGAGCTATCATGTGGGAGCTGGGAACCAATTCCAGGTCCTCTGCAAGAACAAACGCTCTTAACTACCCAATTATCTCTCCTGCCCAGCATACTCTCTTATTCTTAAGTCATCTCTTAGTTTCTTATTATACCTAATGTTATGAAAATGCTTCATAAACATTTTCTATACTGTATTAGAACAACAACAAAAAGGCTGTATTATTATTATTATTATTATTATTATTATTATTTACATTTCATTAACTCTGTATCCCAGCTGTATCCCGCTCCCTCATTCCCTCCCAAAACCTCTCTCCCTCCCTCATCTCCTCCCTGCCCCTTTCCAAGTCCACTGATTGGGGAGGACCTCCTCCCCTTTCATCTGACCCTGTTTTATCAGGTATCTTCAGGACTGGCTGCAAAGTCCTCCTCTGTTCCTCCCTTGTGGGGTGGGGAGGTCAAACAGCCTGCCATTGAGTTCCTGTCAGAAATAGTCCCTGTTCCCCTTACTATGGGAAACCAATTGGTTACTGAGCTACCACGGGCTTCATCTGAGCAGAGGTTCTAGGTTATATCCATACATGGTCCTTGGTGGAGTGTCAGTCTCAGAAAAGACCCCTGTGCCCAGATATATTTGGTCCTTGTGGAGCTCCTAACCTTTCCACATCATACAAACTCCCCTTCTTTCATGTGATTCCCTGCACTCTGCCGATTTTTTCTATTTCTTATCTGTGAGTGAATCTGTCAATGTGCAACTCAAGGATACACTGGACCAATCATAGTTTTGCTGCTGCTTTGAGACAAGGTCTTGTTCTGTAGCTCTAGGTGGCTGGTACCTGCTATGAGCCAAGGCTGGCGCCCAACTCTTAGCAATCCTGCCTTAGCCTCTGAAATTCTGGGGTTAAAGACCTGCATCAGGCTTTTGTTGCTATCATTTCAAGAGGATTTAGGGAGGGGACAGGTTAGGTCTACCATCCTGAGCCATAAGTATTCCACACAGACTTTGGTTAAATGGTGATTACAGAAGAGTAGAGCTCGACTATAAACATTTAAAGGAAGTAGACTCTTGAAAAATTCATCACTGAAGGACGACCAACAGCAGAGAAATAAAGCCAATGCCAGGTGACCAGCAGATGTACGGCAGTGGAAACGGTTTGATATTCACCGTCTCCATGTAAGAGAAACGTGATCACGTAACTTTGTATGAGAAGTTACCTGGGGTTGATCTTGGGCTGATTTAGGGCTGGAGGATAACACACACATACTGTCTGTTTGGTGTTTGCGACAGCAGGCTTGTAGAAGTCAGCGGAAGTGCGGTCTCCCTCATCCTGCTAGTCTCAGGGGTCGAGCTCAGGTCGCCGAGCGTGGTGGTCAGTGCTTTTACCCACTGAGCTACCTCGCGGCCCTTGCTTTAGATCTAATGGTTTAATCTAAGTGTGCTTGTTTGCAAAGAAAGCCAGTTTCCGAAGCACATCAGGCTCCCTCATCTTTCCTCTTGAGACAGGGCTCCTAGGGCGGGCTGGCTCCGAACTCTCCGCCTTCCTGCCCCGTCGAACCTCCCAACGCCTGGAGGCTGGGGAGCGGCACCACCTTGACCTCAGACGACCCCGCCCTGGCCGGCCACAGACCCAGGCCGCCTCGGGAGTCCCCCGCCGGCCTGCCCGGAACGCGCCGCCCGCCCGCCCGCGCCGCGCGGCCGCCGATTGGCCGGGCCGGGACCGGGCGTGACGTCAGGCCCCGCCCCGTCGCCCTTCGACCCCGCCCCGCGGGGTGGGCTGGCGGTTTAGTCTGGGGCAGCTGAAACCGGTTTGCGAGGCGGCAGTGGCTGGGCTCCGCGCTGCCGCCGGCCACCTAGGGGAGCGCTGGCGAGGCGCGGGCGCTCGGCGTAGGCGGCCGCGGCCCAGGCTCTCGGCGCGGCGCGGCAGGTGAGGGAGCGGGCGGGCGAGCGGGCGGGCGCTCACGCGGAGGGGCGGGCGGGCGGCCTGGCGTCCCGGAGCCGCGGAGCCGTGGGGCCCCTCGGAGCGGCGCGACCCAGGGCGGCCGCGGAGGTACCGGGCGGGGGAACAAAGGAACGGCGGAGCCCGAGCCCTGGGCGCCGTCCCGACAGCTGCCGGTGTCCCCAAAGCCAGAGAAAGTCCGGCCGCGGCCCCGTCGGGTGGGGAGAGCCCGGCGCTGCCGTCCGGGGCGCCCGGCGTCGCCGGCTCGGGACCGTCCTCCCTGCGGCCGCCGCCTCGGCTGCCCCATCCATCCCGGAGCAGACGGCGGGCCGGGGCTGCGGGCCTCCGGGGCAGCACGGTGGGCTCCCCCGCCGCCCTGCTCCCGCCTTCCCGCCGCTCGTGCTGGGTGCATTGCCGACACCTACGGGAGAAATAAGTGTAAGGTGTCGCTGTCTTTCCCCCACCCCGTCGCTCAGTGTTCTAGAAACGGAAAGCGCGAAAACAAAACAGGTAAACCGCATGCAGTGGCTTAGATACTCGGGGAACCAGTCATTGTGCTGAACAAAATTTAAATCTGCGAAGAAAGATGCGGGAGGTTTGGACCCAGAGAATTGACGAACACAAAAGAAAGCTGAGTAGTATTTCTTGAGTACAAAAAGTTGGTGGGTGAATCAACTATGTGTATAACAAAAACGATAAATACATATGAAGATATCAACCTACGTCGAAATGGAAAACATTTGGAAAAAGCCTACTGTATGTCAAAAGTCTAAAGCTGTTGAAAATGTTAATTTGGCTTAATGAACTCCATAAGCACCTGCTTAATGGAAAACCCATTCTTGTCTACATATGTTTGATTAAAATATTGGCTTTTGAAGTATTTGGAGGTCTGAGAAGTGGGTCCATAGTGATTCCCCACCAACATGGACAGAAATCAACGTAGGCAGCAAACCTGTTTCTTGATCATAGGCTATTCTGAGGATCAAAGCTGCTGGAATCTAGGAAAGAGCCAAGAGAACTGGAAACCTGTTTCTTGATTATTGGCTATTCTGAGGATCAAAGCTACTGGAATCTAGGAAAGAGCCAAGAGAACTGGAAACAACTTTATTTTTCTTTTTGAAAAGTTTTAAAGAAAACTTTATTTATTTATTTATTTTTTTGTCTAGAATTACATGTTTTAGCTAAAATACTCACCTTCAGTTCAGCTGTCAACTAAATGTTCCTGTAACCTTGGTTAGCTTAAATCTCCAGTTTGTTTGCCAAGCTAGTAAACTAGTTAGATTCACCATTGAGGACATTAAGCACAAAGAGTAAACTTTATTTTGCTAGGTAGGGGGAACTGTGAAAAGTTTTCATGTAAATATGTTACAGTGGCCAATACACACCTTTAACCCCCGGGCACTTAAGAGGTAGGCAGATCTCTGAATTCAAGGCCAGCCAGCACTCAGAAGTGAGATCCTACCTCAAAATAAATTAGCAAATTAAGTTAAACTAATTGCCCAAATTCAGCTGAAAGTGCTCTGTAGTATTTATCTTTAGACAGTACAAATTGGAGGTTGTGTTGGAAAAAAAAATTAGCAAAGCCAAAATAACAAACTCCGGAAGAGTAGTATGTGGTAAGGTGATAGGTGAGCTGGTTATCTGTCTGAGCAGCGCGGATGCACACAGTGACTAGCATTTTTCACTGTTGCCTTTTATGTGTGCATTAAAGGCATCTCCATCCAGGTTGGCATATTTTTGTTTGTTTAGCAGAAGAAATAAAGGGGTGTGTAAACTTTGAGATTCTTATCAGAGCAGGTACTTTCTAAAACTGTCACTGCTGTTTGGAGGCGGTTGGGTGCCAAAGCTATGCTTCAGTCCTGCACCAAAATGTTGGCCTCTGCTGTGGTGGCTCTTGCTTCTAGTGGCACTAAGTTTTTGAGGGGTGGGGACTGAACTGGATTGCTGATTCTTTACAATTCAAGTGGGTCGTGGTGCTTGTCTGCCAGGGTGTGCTTCGCTGTGCTTTGTGGAGTGCTGCAGCTATTCACAACTGAAGGGATGGAAAGCTTGGCTGGTTTGGTTTGGTTTTGTTTGTTTTTATTAAATATACAGACTATTCCTGGTTGTCCTAATGTAGAGGACGACTAGAGCTAAATTTGTACTGGATGTTGGTTTGAATACGTGGGAATAACAGGTGATTTTCCTTACATTGATTAAATTGGTTATTTCCAGTTGAATAGTTAGCTGAATACCAACTCTGCAGTCTTGTAGGTGAGATTGTCCTTTAGAATTGTAAACACTGGGTGAAAGTTCAGGTTGCAGTTTTAAGACTGACAATCTGGTTAGACTCTGCCGAAAAGGAAGCTAGCTTGCTAAAGGGCCTGAGTTTTGAGGGCCTAAGTTTGATCCCTAGGACATTTATGGTAGGAGAGAACCAACATCTGCAAGTTTTTCTCTTGACCTTCAGGTGTATATCTTGGTCCTCTCTCTCTTCCTCACATATACAAATAAGTTAAGGTTCGTTTTATGCAGCCATGTTGCTGAGTTACAGTTTTAGGCTGACCCTTAATATTAATTAATTCATTAAGCCGGGCAAAGTTGTGCTGTGATCAAGGAGACAGAGGCAGGAGAATCTCTGTGAGATAAAGGCCAGCCTGGACTACAAAGGGAGTCCAGGAAAGGCAAGGCTAAACACAGAGGAAAAACAAAACAGTGCTGGTGCACGCCCTTAATCCCAGCACTTCAGCAGATTTCTGTGAGTTTGAGACCAGCCTGGTCTACAGAGTGAGTTTCAGGACAGCCAGGGCTCCAAAGAGATAACCTGTCTCAAAAAACAAAAACAAAGCACAACAAAATTAAATTAATTCAGTAACATTAAAGCTTTTAAGTTGGATCTGTTAAATGGAAGGTTTCAGTATTTCAGTGAACCAATTTATTTATTAGAAAGTGTTTGTATGTTCAGGGTTATACTCAGGTTTTTGTTAGCCATCCTAAAAGAACTATTGAAGTATTCAGATAGAAGTTTTATTCAGAATTGTTTTTATGTAGAGATTCTAGCACAGAATTTATATACATGAATAGATCTTGTTTATTCTTAAACACAGAAATCAATTTATAAGGTATCTTATAAATTATGTTGCTTGAGGACAAGTTTTCTGCTGTGTAGTGTTGGAGTTTTTATCAATAACAGTGGAGTTGCCAAATACAGTATTTGTCCAAGTACAACATGGTATCACATTATTAATCTTGTTTTACATATCTGATACTGATACATCCATGATACTGTATATTTATAAAATAACGTTATAAAATAATTTTCAGCATATATGCTATTGTGCATTTATAAAATAACTTTCAGCGTTAGATTTTCTAATTGATCTAAATGTGGTAATGCAGCTCTTGATTACTTACCCTCCAGCTCTGTTATAGATCAGGTTTTAGCCCTCAGTCCCACTATTTTCGGAGGACTGTTCAGTCACTGCGTGACCCCTATTCATAAATAAATGAAATTTAGATAGTAAGTTAAGGGACACAATGCTGAAGAAAGATGTGATTGGAATTCTTTTAGAGATCTGGACATTCATGCACCAAAGTCTATTTTTAGGGTAGTTGAACAGTCATTTGAATAGTTACATAAAATATATCACTGTATTACGAACACTGTATGTATTCATTTTAAACTTTATTATCTTGAGATGTATGTGTCTATGAATATGTATGTATTTAAAATAATTTTCAGTCTTGGTTTTTTTTAAGGTAGTCTGTGGTAAACATACTTAGCTAAGTCTGGAAGTGGGAAAGAAAAATTGAAGGAATATGAACAAAAAGGCAAAAGACCTCAGTGTTTGAAGTATAGATTTCTGAAAATAAAATCTGTAAAGTTAGGAAGAATGTTTTCCTTGTTAACACATAGTACTGAAAAGATTTAAAAGCCACACTACGAAGAGATTTTGAATGATGTTGATAACTAGAAAGAAAGCTGTGGCCACAAGAACATCAGATCAAGTTTTTTTTTAAATAAATTGTAGTTGAGACTATATTTAAAAAAATTAATTACTCTGATCCTATAAAGAAAAGACTTAATTTTGAGGAAGGATTTGTGTGGGTAGCCAGTTACATTGTGTTTTAGAAATGGATTCATAACCTTGTTGCCAAAGGTAGCTCTGTAGTTGAGCTGACCGCCTTCAGTTGCTTTTTTGTTACTAAAGTAGAAGTCTGTAGTGGAGCTTTTTCTGTTTGTAGGGTTTTTGTTTTTTGTTTTTCCTTCCATCCTAACTTGGGCCTGGCTAGGAAAGATGGGTTGACTTAGCACAGCTGCTTATAAGAAGAGAAAGTATGTGGAAAGAGAACCTTGATTTCCTAAACATAAAATGTTTAGACACATTTGTTTTGCAAGATTTCTAGTCCAATACAGTCTTGGATTTTTGGAAAGTCTGTAACAAAACCATAAGTTTTGCTAGATAGTTTCTACTTAATGCAGTCATTTTGTATATAAGGAATCTGAAATGACGACTTGAATGTTTTGCTTTTTTAAAACCCTTTTTCTTATCAAGGTTATTTTTTTAAGGATGAAGGAAGACAAAGTGGAGGGAAAAGGTGGAGGGCACTAAGGGGGAGTTGGAGTGAGGTAATGGAGTATGGATATGATCAAATTGTGTAAACATTTGAATATTTCAGGGAAGAATTATTTTAAAAGTTTTAAAAATAAATTTATCAAAGTCATTAAATGTCTTTTGTTTGTTTGTTTGAAATAAGGGCTCTGTGTAGTCCTGGAACTCACAGAGCTCCTCCTACCTCTGCATCTGAGAGCTAGGATTATAGATATGGCCAATTCAATAATTTGTTTTGAGACAAGATTTCTTTCTTGTATAGCCCTGTCTGGAACTTGCTGTAGACTAGGCTGCTTCTGCCTCCTGACCTTAAAGGCATGAGTCACCACTGCCCACCCAATTATTTTATTTTAAAATAAGGTTCATTGAAGTGTATGTAAGTGGAAAGCACAGGTCAGAGGGCAATTTTCAGAAATTGGTTTTCTTTCACTTTTGCTTGGGTCCTGGGGTTCGAACTCAGGTCCTCAGGTTTGGTGTTTACCCTCTGAGCCATCTCACTGGTTCCTTTCATGTATTGCAAGTTGGCCTCCAACTCACTGTGTAGCATGGATGACTTTGAACTTCTGATCTCAGTGCCCCATGCTATGTTTATGTAGTGCTGGGGATCAAACCCAGGACATAGTGTTTGCCAGACAAGCAGTGTATCAACTGAGTTGCACCCTAACCGCATTGTGTACTGATGGCAAAGTACTAGTGTTTTTATATACAATTAATAAAAAATTTTCTTCTCTTTCCTAGCAGAAATCCTAAAGTAAATCCATCAGGATGACACCTTCTCAGGTCACCTTTGAAATCAAAGGAACTCTTTTACCAGGTAAAGCTCTAAAATGCTTTTTAAAATTAAGTGGATGTTTTTCTTTTTCATATGTTTTTAAAATTAATCATTTGAAAATTTTCTCGCTTTTTTATGGGTCTGGGTATTTTTACCTGCATGTATGTCTGTAATTTCTGTAGAGGTTAGAAGAGGGCATCAGAGGATTTGGATCCCCTTAGGACTTCTGTGAGCAATTTGGGTGCCTGCGTTGAAGGGGACCCCTGAGGATCAGCCAGTGCTCTTAACCTGAGCCATCCCTCTAGCTTCTTGTCCCGTCTTTATCGCAGCAAAGATCGTATCTGCCCAGCAATGTCCATTTGGGATCCTCAGTGTTGTGCACCAGTGCGCCTTCTCCTCAGGTGGTAACCTGTGCTCTTGTTGGCACCATCAAGGAACCCAGCAGCCTGACTTGGTTTCTGCCATCTAGATCATGCCAGTTTGGCACAGTCCTGCACTGCTTCCCCTCTTCAAACCTGATACAGAGACTTCTGCCCTTTAAATGTTACCTATCTCTCTCTTAATAAAAATAATAAAGATTTATTCATTAGTGTTCTGCCTGCACGTGTGCCTGCACACCAGAAGAGGGCACCAGATCTCATTATAGATGGTTATAAGCCACCATGTGGGTGCTGGGAATTGAACTTTGAACCTTTGGAAGGGCAGTCAGTGCTGTTAACTTTAGAGCCTTCTCTCCAGCCCTTACCTTCCCCTTTTTAAAGACAAGGCCTTACTTTCCCTGGATAGCCTGGAACTCTTGTCAACCATTCACAGAAATCTTACTTTGCCTCCCCAAATCTGGGATTAAAAGGTGCCCCCACACCTGGTTAATGTCACTGATTTTAAATTTTGTTGCCAGTACTACCAACTCTACTAGCTGAAGCCTAATGTATTATTTTCTAACCCAAGAATGTCCACACCTGTGTATGTGTGTTTAATCAGACTCTCGGTCCCAGTTTTCAGATGAAAATAAATATCTTGTCTCAGATACTCAGATACATACTTAGAGCATAGAAAACAGAAGAGCACACCCACCCCTCATGTTATCTGACTTTATTTCTGTGAAGAAAATTGAACTTATTTTTTTATACAGATGGAGATGTGTATTTTTTTTAAAGATTTATTTATTTATTATGTATACAATGTTCTGTCTGTATGTAGACCTGCATGCCAGAAGAGGGCACCTGATCTCATTATAGATGGTTGTGAGCCACCATGTGGTTGCTGGGAATTGAACTCAGGACCTGTAGAAGAGTAGCCAGTGCTCTTAACCCCTCTGAGCCATCTCTCCAGCCCCCGAGATGTGTATTTTGTTTGCATGAAAATGAAGGAAATTGTGCCTCTGCAAGAAGTTAAAATGTGTGGCTAAAATGGATTTATTTGCTACTTGTGAATTTAGCCTCATTTTTCTGTTATCTACTAAGCACTGTGAAATAATCAGTATAAGGTATTACACCAGAACACTCCCACACCTGAGTTTGAATCTTGCTGTTTGCCATGCCCTGCTATAATTGCCTGCCTTTCATTTCCTCAAGTCTGCTGCTCTTTCCCTCCATTTCCTTTTTTGAGAACCCCCCCACACCCCAAATTCTATCTCCCTGTGCCTGGATCTGTGCCTTTAATTCTCACCTACATCAAGGTAAGGGCCTCTGAGAAATTTCCTCATTTTCTGGCACTGTTTTTGTAGCACCTTCTAGAGATTTTTAGAATTACTTGAGTAATTTACCCTGTAGACAGATGGTAAGCTTTATGAAAACATGGTCTTGTCTTGATGCTGAATTCTTGAACCTAGCACAGAGCTTGATACAGATGAGGAACAGAGTGAATGTGTTCAAAGAATAAATGATTGACTCAGTATGGCTTAACATGCTGTTGTAGCAACCACCACAGCAAATGACTGAGTGTGTGTACACGCGTGCGTGCGTGAGCCAGAAAACCTGGTACAGATTTACTCTGCGCAAAATTCTTGAGATGAAGATTGCGGGTGAGCTGCTGTGGCTTCTCACTGCCGCCTCTGACTACAGACTCTATTGTACTCCTTTGGAGATAGGGTCTCATGTATTTGCCAAGTGCTGGGATTATAGGTGTTAGAGAATAAGGCTTTGTACGCGATGTGGGCAGGCAGCCCTCGAACTTCTCCTGCTCCTGTGCTCTGCTCTTTAAGGAGTTGTAAGCAGGCAGTGTAAGGTAGAAGCGGACCACATCTGGTCAGTGAACCGACCACAGAGTTAGCCACAAAGTCGTTTTCTTCACAGACGGGAAGGCACTGTTTTTTATTTTGTTTTTTCAAGACAGGGTTTCTCTGTGTAGTCAGAGCTGTCCTGGAACTCAACTCTAGATAGGCTTGGCTTCAAACAAGGAGAGATTGGGCCTGCCTCTGCCTCCTAAGTGCTAGGATTAAAGGCATGTGCTACTACTGCCAGCTAGGAAGGCTCTCGGTTTTAGGGAGTTAAGGGGAGATGATTGATACCCAGGGCTCCATGAGAAGGGAGGTAGAGGAGCAGAGGAAGGTGTTTTAGGAGACTCCCCAACAACCTACCAATATTTCTCTAAAATTCTTAGTGTGTGTTTGGTAGCTAAATGTTAGCATTCAGGAGGCAGAGACAGATGGATCGCTATAAATTCAAGGACAGCCTGGTTTGCATAGTACCAGCTAGCCAGAGCTACATAGTAAGACCCTGTCTCTGAAAAACAAAACAAAAAACAAACCAAGAAAACAAAAACAAAAACCAAAACCCTCTTTGGTGTTTGTTCTTGAAAGTGGAAGCTTCTGTGAAGGGACCATGTCTGCTTAATTTGTTTCTTGAATGCTTGCTACTTGCTTAATAAATAATTGAACAAATGAAGAAAAGCTTATTCCTGTGCCTATTTCTTTTTACTCTTTCTGGTTCTGGAGGGTGAAGCAAATTAACTTAAAAGGTGATAGAATGATCCATGGGTCAAAAGCCCTGCCTGAGGGCGCCTCTTTTTTGACTCAAAGAAACTCTAAAAAAACCTGTAACTGACTGCTCTGCTTCCTAAAATTGAAGGTTTCCTAAAATTGAAGGAAAAGCCTGACGCTTCTGATTTCTTTAGGAGAGGTATTTGCAATATGTGGAAGCTGTGATGCCTTGGGAAACTGGAATCCTCAAAATGCTGTGGCTCTTTTTCCAGAGAATGAGACAGGAGAAAGGTGAGTGCAGAATGCCAGGGTTCAGAGTAATTGTGACATTCACACTAACACCTAGAGACTGTTGAAGTACTCTGTATATAGTTTATATTTTAATTTAATTTTTATGAAAGTTGTTATGTATACAGTTTTAAAGAGTAAAATCACTATAAAGTTTGTATGTGGGAGGGCGGTTCCTTAACTTTCATTCAGAATTCTTAACATGTTTTGACTGTTACCATCCTTAACCCCCTTTTATTATATTTTTCAATGCATATGTGTCTATATGTACCATAATATATGAGTGTGTGTAAGTCAGCAGTCAGTTCTCTCCTACTGTCTGGGTCCTGGGAACAGAACTCAGATGAGCAGCCTTGGCAGCATCCCACTGAGCCATCCCAAAGAACTCATCTCTTTTGAGGGTTCCCCTACCCTGTTTTGGATGAACTAGGAATTGAACCTAGGACTTTGCACACACCAAGCAAGAGCTATACCACTGAGTTACATACATAGTCATTTCTTTTTGCTTTTTATTTTGAGTTATCTTCACCGAGTTACCCAGGGCTGGTTTTGAGCCATAAACTTGAGACCTGTCTCAGCGTCCTCAGTTGTTAGGACAGGCCTGTGCCCCCACTCTAGCTTTTCCACCATTTTATTAAGTAGCAAGCTCGTCTTGTTTAAAACAAAATTAAGGTATTGTCTCTAGACTTCTCAGTTCATTGTTACTTTCTTTGTGTGTAATACTTGGGATCAGGCCCAGGCCATTATACATGATAAGCATGAATACTGCCACTGAACTGTTACTATTATGTTATTACTTTGAAGCTGGTCTTGAACTTGAGGCTCTCCTGCTTCAGCCTTCAAGTGCTGGGATTGCAGTCATACACATCCACATGTGAATGAGCTATTATTTTGGGGTCTGGAGAGATGGCTTAGTGGTTAAGAGAACAGTATGCTTCTAGAAGTCCTGAGTTCGATTCCCAGCAAACACACAGTAGCTCACAATACTGGGATCTGGTGCCCCCTTCTGGCATGCAGGTCTACATGCAGATAGAGTACTCATAAAGTAAATGAATATTTAAAAAAATATTTTTGTTTTGCGGGGAAGTACTGAGGATTGAATTTACAGCCTTTGTACATGCTAGGAGAATGTTCTCCTGAGCTCTTCACCTGTCTTTCTTCCACTGTCTTGTTTTCTTTTTTAATTGTGTTTGTGTACTCATTAGTTGATTGAGTTGATTAGTTGAATGAGTAGGTTCCCTACCATGTGGTGCTTGGGGATCCAACTAAGCTTATCCGGCTTGGTGACAAGTATCTTTGCTGGTGTTTGTTTGTTTGTTTGTTTGAAACAGGGTTTCACTGGCTGTTCTGGAAGTCACTAAATAGTAGACCAGGCTGGCCTCTGCCTCCGGAATGCTGGGATTAAATATGTGCACCACCACCACCTAGTTAAGAGTCTTTACTGCTTGAATTATTTTGCTAGCCTCCCTTAAGTTTGTTTGTTTGTTTGTTTGCCTGTTTGTTTTTTGAGGCAGGATCTCACAATATAACTATTGCTGGCTTGGAACTTGCTATTTAGACCAGGCTGGCCTTGAGCTCACAGAGATCTGCCTGCTTCCACTTCTTAAGTGCTGGGATTAAAGGTGTGCATCAGCATTCTCCATCAAAGTTACTCAAAATATACTTCAACTCATGCTGTAGTTCAGGCTGTCTTTGATCTCGAGCTTGCAAATTTTCTATGTTAGCCTTCTAAGCAGTTGTTATCACAAGTGTATGCTACCATGCTTGGCTGAAACTACTTTCTGGGAAGTGTGTGATATTAATGACAAGAACATGCATTGTGATTCTCACACTACAAAGACAGTGTAGTCACTAGCCACATTAAGCTCAGTGTAAGTGCTGTGGACTAGGAAAGGGCAGATCCAGGGTTATGCAGTTAACTGTAATCTTAGGCAGAGGTCATGTATCTGGCCCTTAATTTTCAAATCTTCATGGCAAAGTGGTTAGGATAGAATAAAAAGATATCAGCAGGGTGGCCCTTATCCCAGCTGTGGATATTTGTGTTACTGGTTGTCTCATAGGGACATCCAGTGTCCCTATGAGAAATACCAGCTGAAATGACTTTTAAGATAATTAAAGAACAAAGGACAGTTAGGCTTGAGAATATAACTTGCTAGTGTTCATGACTCTCTTATGGCCTGAAGTTGTGTACTCCAAACCTGTTCTAGTAACATGTAGCATCTCTGGATAAGTTGGAAGACAAAGAAGATTGACAATATTCACTCTTGTATTGCTTTAATTTTCTAGAGTTCTTATGTTTCTGTGTATAGCTGGTTCATTATCATCCTTTAAGTCTCAGCTCAGATATTTTTTCACTGAGGATTCTGTTCCAAAGCTTCCTTGCAACTTTAGAATTTGGAGTGGTTTTTTGTCTTTTTTTTTTTTAAACAGTGTCTTATCATGCAACCCAGGTTTGCCTTGAACTTGCTCTGCAGTTCATACGTACCCAGAACTCAGAATTTTTCTGCTTCAGCCTTCCAAGTGCTAGGATTACAGACCCGCACACCCCCCCCAGCTTTGTTAGTTTAGTGTATGTGGTTTTCTTCCATATTTGTCCACCCACTCAGGAAAGCAAGCTCCTGGAAGATGGGCTGATTACTGCATTTCCATTGCCTACTGGGCAAACCTGTAGGAAAGCTATGGGCAGGGTCCTTAGTTGAAAAGTTTTGTGCATTACGAGTTCTTGGTACATTTTACTGTGATGCTGATGGTCCTCCTGTTTTTGTCCATACCCTTCAGTATGTTATGGAAAGCAACGATTGCGCTCAGCAGAGGAGTGTCAGTTGAGTACCGCTACTTCAGAGGCTGCTTTTTAGAACCAAAGGTATGTTTTCTTGATCTATTTTCCCATTGCTGTAGGATTTTCAAAAGTCACTAATGCAAGTTTGAAAACATTAGAAATAAAATGAATATGTTTTGGTCAAAAAAGGAATAGAATTCTCAATAACAATTGAGTGCACACACACACACCAAAAAAAAAAAAAATCAAGTAAGTACCTCTTTCACAGACTGGCATTGTCTGTGATGGGATTTTTGAAAGACAAATAGTAAGTATGTTCTGCAATGTTTTAACCAGTGTTAATCTAATGTGTATGTTTTCTGTAACTTTGTAAACTAGGTTCCAATTGCAAGCCTTTAAAATTTGTTTTAAATATTTGTTGCATAAATACATTTAGAGAAGTATGTTAGCCAGCTTTAAGCAAGTTACTGTTTTTAAAAAATTATTTCATGGCAGTCTCTTAGTGGCTGCATTGTTTAACGTCTATCAAAATAAAGTGATTCTTGTAGCTTCCTATAGGTGTTGTTGATCAGGCAGGGTCTTCTCTGAAAAGCCTTGAGCATCTATTAGTTCTCAATCTGCCTGTCCACAGCTTATTATTTTAGTATTCTTTTTATTTTCAGAGAAGGAAAATGTTAACTTGTTTCCTTAGTTTGCAGACATTGATTTATTTTAGTGAAAGGATTCTCTTTCTTTGGATTTTTACCTTTGCCACACTTGTGCATGTGAACAAGGGTTTAGCAAGGATATGGGAGATAAAACATGGACTAGGCCTTTGGGAAAATGTATATCTATATATTTTGGAAAAATGTATTTTCCTTGGGAATTATAGAGTGTAGTAACAAATGAAAAATATTAGCAACCACTGTTACCTCACTCTCTTAGCTATCATAAAAACTGACAAATCCACTCCAGCTGTCTTTTGCACCTATTACATTTTTTTATTCCAAGAATATTGGGTAAATACTCAGTAATTGAACTTAAATTACATTATTATCACTGTGTTGGCTTATCTTGACAATAGTCTAACAATAAGGGCATCTGTTTGTTTGGTCGAGGAGTTGTACCTCATGGTCAAGTCCTCTGGTTCAAATTGAACAATGTGTGGATAAACAAATCACACACTCAAGGCATTAGAAGCCTGAGTCCTGGTTACAGAAACTTTGTGTAATGGGAAGTTAAATTTTTTTTCTGGAAAGGGGGATACGGAAAATAAAAGTCAGCGAGACCATTTGACATAGTTCCATAAGACTGTTGTCAACACAGGTCACAGTAAGCCAACCTGTATTATTGCTATTTCACGGAAAATGTAACCAAAAGCAGCAAATCAGTCTACTGATTCCTCTTGGAAAATTGGCAGGAAATGTGCCGGAGAGTAACAGATTTCCCTTGTAATACTTGCAAAAGTTTACAGTATATGTTGGTGAGTGTGTTTCTTTAAGTAGGTGCTTGCTCTGTATCGTGTACACACGTATCGTGTGATGCAGGGGCTGCCCTGGTAAGTATGTTTTTCATGGACTAGAGTACATAGCTGCATAGTCCCGTGCCCATGGCTACATTCCTTCCCATCGTGCCAGCTTACAGTGACATTTCTACAAGTTGGTGGTGCTTTTATAATGAAACTTCTTTTATTATAATTATTATAAGACTTTGTCCTAACTGTGTATTGCCAAATAATAGACATATGTAAGGAATCTTGAATCATGAAAGTATACAAATGAGTGGAATCCATATCTTATGAATGTTAGGGTTGATAGGAGAACTGAAGTGGGCCACTGGGAAGGAGTTTTGGGAAGTCTGGCTAGGCAGCTAAAGAACTTGAGAGCAGCTGAGCTTGTGATGGCTCTTCATCCTTAGAAGGATGGCAGCTCTCTCCAGATGAAGGGCTTGGAATACAGGCTTCCTGAGTCCCATTCGTTACTAAACTTTATAGTAAGCAAATACATTGTCACAGTTCATACTTTTTCCATACTTTGCTTCTCCTTGACATGTTGTTTTTTAATGTTGTAGAATTGTAAAGTCCTTTTCTCAGTTTTCCTATTTTTCTTTTATCCTTCTTAGTGTGTGTGTGTACACGTGTACCTGCGTATGTGCACCAGTGAATCTAATTGGAGTTACTTACAGGAGCGTGGGTGAAGGGGCATTTACAGGAGAGTGAACAACTTGCCAATGGCTAGACCACTAAAGAAAACCTCTGTCCCTGGCAACATTGTCAATCTGTGGAGCACAGGGAAGGGAGGGTATTGTGAGCTCTTTTTTCCCTTTTCCCAGTTTCTGAAAATTATGTGTTTGTTCTTGTAGACATTGTAAAGTTAGAGTAAGAGGTTAATGGGCTACATTTTACTAATTTTACAGGTAGCAACTGTTCCCTTTAATTAAATATAGCAAACAAAGGTGATAGACATTCCTGGAATGGAAACTCAGTGTGAGTCCGTACAGAGTCCATTGATTTTTATATCTTCAGTAAATACCTTTTTAAAAAAAATTATTTATTTCATTTATGAGTATTCCCTGTGTGTCTGTATGTTTGTGTACCTTGTGTGTGAGCGCCTGAAAGAGGGCCAGAAGAGGGCATCACAGTTGGGACTGGCGTTATGGGTGGCTGTGAGGCACTGTGTGGATGCTGGAAGCTGAACCCTGGTTTCTCTGTGAGAGCAGCCAGAATCTGGAACTGTTGAGCACCTGTCTAGTGCCAAAACTACTTTTTTGACAAGTTAAAATTTAAATTTAAGGAATGAATGAATTTTTTTCAGAGTGAAATGTTACCCAACTTTTGGTTATACTTTTTGAAAAGTTTCTTCCTTTTTGTGAAAACAGACCAATATTTTGTAAAAGTATCATACTTTTTATAATGCCAGCACTCACTCATAGTTTAATTCATTAACTCTTATTTTGACTTTCATCTCTTTATTTTTAAAAATGTTTTAACAAGTGAGTCTGGGATGAGATTTCTCTGTTTTACAATAGCCTAGGTTGTCCTTTTGTAGACTGACTTCTTGATACAATAATATTCTTCTGGATGTCAAATGCTTTGGGTTAACTTGAGATCCATCTTCCTTTATTTGAATAATGTTGGAATAACCATTTCCTTATTGGACTTATTAGAAAGGTTGTTAAATAATATTGGGTTTGTTATTGTAGAGTAGAGTAAAAAATGCTGTCCTCATACATGCAGGCTTAAATTGTAGGAAGAAAGGAATCAGGTAAAATGAAGTTTTACAGTTTGTCTGCACGCAGTGCCTTTACCTGACTCACAACTTTGCTTGCTGATGTATAAAAACACAAGCCAAGCACATCCATATGTTGTGCTTCTGTTTCTCCTGGAGCCTGATGCAGTTGAGTGGCAGCCAGCTATGTAGGAAAGCAAAAAAGGGGTTGGAGAGAGGGCTTTGTGGGTAAGGCCACTTGCTCTTCCCAAGGGCCGGAGTTTAGTTCCAGCACCCACATTGGGCGGCTCACAACTGTGGGCACAACTTCAAGGGGTCTGATGCTCAGGTCTCCAAAACACCCATGTGCAGACACACTTGCACATAATTAAAAATATTGAAGAAAAAAAAAAAAAAAAAAAGGCAGGGCTGGAGAGATGGCTCAGAGTTTAAGAACATTGGTTGTTCTTCCAAAGGTCCTGAGTTCAATTCCCAGCAACCTTATGGTGGCTCACAACCATCTATAGTGAGATCTGGTGCCCTCTTCTGGTGTGTATGGTAGAACACTATAAGTAATAAACCTTAAAAAAGGCAATAAGTAAACCTTTTCAGAAATTGGTGTATTTTTGTTAGTAATACATGTTTAGAGATGTTTCCATAGTCTTACAATTTTATATATTAAATTCTGAAGTAACTCTGAAGGATTTACTGTTAATATTTGTTACTTTTTCTCCAAAGATACCCTTTCACTTTATTCCAAAAGCTTAAAGTTATCCTTTCTCACAATTTTAAAGAATTAATGTTTATACTTAGCATATTAGATTAGCATATTAACCTAAAGGATTACAGTTTTTTTGAATCATTACTGAGAGTTTAATTTTCACAATATTCCAGCTCTTTTGTTGTTGTTGTTTCTGTTTTTTATTTTTGAGACAGGGTTTCTGTGTGTAGCCTTGTCTGTAGACCAGGCTGGCCTTGAACTCACAGAGATCTGCCTGCCTCTGCCTCCCTGAATAAATTGAAGATTTTGTTTTCCAATGTAAAAGTTATAGTCAACAACTTAGATAATCAGTATACTGTATTATTTGAAAACTAGGGTTTTTGCTTGTTTGTTGGATTTTGAGCAGGTCTTACTTCATTGCCTTGACTGGCCTGGAACTTGCTATATTATATAGACTAGGCTGGTCCTAACTCAGAGATCTACTTGTCTCTGCCTCTTGAGTGCTGAGATTGAAGGTGTGCTGTTTTTGATTTCATTTTTACACTCTAAAACTTTGTGTACCAGCTAACATGTATCTGTAGTGAGGATGCTTGCAGACAGAATTTTGTATTAAACTGACCCTTTGGACTGTTCCTCACTATGCAATTCTGGGCAGTTTTATTGTGTGAGTAATGGGTTTGTTGCTAAAACCATGGAAGTCAAAGTATTAAAATTACTACTAAAATGGGTTTTCTGTGCGATACATAATTCACAAGACTATTGTTAGGTGATGGTAGATACTGTAGTCATCACTGTAGAGTTATTTTGACACTGGAATTAATCAAAGCAAAATAAACCCTTTTTCTCCCTCTAATTTTTTTTTTTTAAAAGCTCTGTGGCACTCTTTAGTTCACTTTTAGTTGCTAACTTTTGTTGAGAATAAAGTCCAAGCCATTTTTGAAAGGAAAGACAGTTTGGCTGCCAAGAGGTAGGAGAAGAGTATGAGAGAAAGGTGGAGTGAATGAGAAAAGACTTAGGTAGTGCTTTTATTGCAAAGAAATACTTCCATTTTTAGTGTATGCACTTATTTCTTTGAGGATTAAAGTAAATAATAGATGGAAGTGTATCTGCATTTGAACATGCACACACATACAATCCCAATAAATGTGAAAAAAGTTTAAAAAACCATTTTTCAGCATATAGCAGATGATGCAGAATTCTGTGTAATTTGTAGTGTATTAGAAATTATAATATTCACCATGCCTTAAGATGACCAGAGTAATGACAAGGAGGTATTGAAAAAGAACATTTCATTTAGTGTCTCAGAGTTAGTGGTTTGAATATATCTCCAGTGCGGTTGTAGTTTTTAAACTGTTTATAAATCCAGTACGATTTGTTTATGGAAGGACCATCTGAAGGTATATAATATGCACAGAGAAGTTTATATTCTATAAGTTTAAGATTTATGCTGGTGGGATAATCCTGAAATAGTGCATTAGTGGATAATTTTTATATATGCTTTGCTTCTCTGTATTTTGTTAAAATTATAAAAGATAATTATCAAAAATAATTCTATTCTATAAGGTTGCAGATTTATTTTGCCACATTTTTAAACGTCTAAGTTTCTTTTTTTTAATATTTTTTATTTTTAAATAATTTTATACATTCACTTGTAACGTCTAAGTTTCTTTAGTCTGCCTTGTGTTTGATCAGAGGGGCTTTGCTGTTCATTCTTCTAAAACTGAGTGTCAGCAGCAGCACATAATTTTCTTCACTAGTAAGGAAAAATGATGATAGCATTAGGAATTGTTATACTATGATTTTTCAATTTGAAAGCATAAAACTCAAATTTAATATTAATTTAGTTTCACTTTTATCACAATCATTTGTTTCTCAAACTTAGCTATGTATTCTTTTAGGATTTCCTGTGCTCTTTGCAAATACGTAGCACGCTTAGTATTCGTAAGTGAGATAGAGGACTTTGCTATAACCCCTAGCTTCCTGCAGTAACCTGTGCTAAGTGATCTTGCAGTCCTTGATATTGCCATTCCTGCTCTCACAGGCTTGTTTAAACTGTCTTCTAAATACTTAGTTTTTCTAAGAAGAGCAGGGAAAATATGTAGGAACACCCCTGTGGCACACCAAAGAAATCATAATTGGTGTTAACTTTAACTTACAATAGGCTTAGTATTGGTGCAAAGTTAATTTTTCTTAAAAAAGAAAAGCAAAACCCAAACTACAAAGTATTGTAGATAAATTTGCAGATGGGTTTAAGAGAGTTTTGTGTTCCAGTTCATCTCAGTTCTTTTTATTTATTGCTTTAAGTCAATTTTTTTTTTTTTTTTTTTTTTTTTTTTTGTAGTATTTCATCATGTTTTGTGACCTGGGTACATGCCTGATTTGGGACATATGGTATTGAATAACTTAGCAAGATGAATTTCTGGTTTCTTGGTCTCATATTTAGTGTAAGCCTTAGGCCACAAACATCTAATGCAATCATGGGTAGAAAATAAGATCTAAGAAATTATTGCAGACGTTTAACTTTTAAATTGCAGACTATCGGTGGTCCCTGTCAAGTCATAGTTCACAAGTGGGAGACTCATCTACAACCACGATCAATAACCCCTTTAGGTATGGGCATTAACTGCATCTGTTTGAGGCGTATGCATAAAGTTACTAATGTGCTGCACAGTGGCTTAGGGACGCCGTGCATTTTGATGCTGAAGTTTAAAATCAATGCATTGTCAGTACTACAGATTTCACTTAACATTTCATGGATCTTTCAAAATTGAACGTTTTTATAAACTATTAGAAATGCTTGTTATTTTTATTGGGGGGGGGTTAGATTATTATGAGACTTATTTCAATCTGGAGTTCTTGGAAAGGTAATAATATTCTTCCTGACTGAGGATCCATGGCTTTATTAGATTTCTGCTCAAGTTTAGAGAGCATTTTAAAAAATAGTTGATCCGAAACAGAAACTTTCACAAGTTCAGCTTTAAATGCTAATAGTTATTATATTTGTTCTTTAAATATTAGTAAATACTTAAGCAAATAAATTTAAATTTCTTTGTTATAGTCATATTTTTCTAATTCATTTAAATTCCCTTTTGGCTGTGCTGTTGTTTATATCAGGTTTTTAATGTTTTTGTTTCTAATTCTATTTTCTATGCCCAAAATGGTGTTTCTCTTCATACAAGTGTTTAGTTCACTTTTCTATGCTGAAAATAGATCTTGAAGCTCATTTTTACACACATGAACTACTCACCTGTATTTGTGAATTGAGTCAGTGTGAGAAGCACCTGTTTTAGTTCTACAGAGTGTCAAGATTGAGGCTGTGGGTTTTGTAGTTTAGATGTAGAAGTAGTGGGAGTCTCTGCTTTGCCCTCTTTAAAGAACACATCTTGTTTAAACAGATGTCTCATTCCCTCTTCCTTTAGATTTTCTTTTTATATGTTTTAATACATTTTTGATAGCAGCATCTTTAGGATTACGGTAGTTTCACACTGAAATCGGAGCTTAATGAAAATTAAGTATTTTGAAACACAGTTTGCATTTGGATCCATCTTGAAATTAAACATTTTTGTGCCGTGCGAAGTGGAATGATTTTATTTGTGTTCTTTTAGAGATTCATGTCCTGCTTTGGGGGAAGGCGATGTAAACTGGTGTGTACTCTGCTGTACAAGCTTTAGGAAACGCCCATTTATTTTGGCAGATGCCTCAGGCTTAAAGTAAGCTGGGAAGGACACTAAGAAGGGAACACATTGCCTGTATCACTAGATAACAGCCTTTGCAGCCCTTTTCATGAGATTGAGATACTAGCAAAGGGCTTTGTTAGCATCTTGGTAGGTCTCCACAGCTCTGTATGTACAGGTAAGTTTATGCTGTTTATAAAGCTTTTGGCTGGCTGTAAGAGTGTTGGGGTTTGAGGAGATTCACACTTTAGCCAAGTTCTTTATGTGCACCACCTAAGAATAAGCATCTTAATTGTGCCAGGACTGTTGGTTTGAGACATGAGCAAGGAGCTCTTGTACAGCAGCTGTCTAGCCTCAGGCATGGTGGGTGCTGAGCTTCCTCCCAGTCTCCAGGGTACCTTCCCAGGACCTTCTCTCTTTGTGAACATTCTCTCAAGTCTGTAGGACCAACCCTGTTTACTAGCCTCCTGAAAGGGAATACTTTATCTAGGGCTGCAATAAACATGCTTATTCATGTTAGGCTGCTTTATGTTTTAGATATACCATTTTAAGCAGTACATAAAGTAAATTCTCAATTGTTCATTCATTCTGTACACATCATGAGTTTTAAACTAGGCTTTTTATTTTCCTTGAATTGTAGAAAGTGAAATCATTATTGACGATGGACAATTTGGAATCCACAGTAAGTGACATTCACTGAATTTGAAAATGTTTGATACCGGTTGCCTTAATACCTCATTGAAAATATGTAACACACTGAAACAACACAGTGCAGTGTTGAAAACAGAAGTATATTTTGTTAACTGATAAATAGCTTCAAACTTTTTTCCATTAAGTGTTTGGTCATTTAAAATTTTGAGTTTATATAATTATAAAGAACTGTATCTAGTAGAGGAGATGATAATCACTCTGATTTGATTACACATGGTATATATATATATATTTAAATTAATGGTACTGTACCCATAAATAGGTATAAATATTGTTAAAAATTAAAATTGTATATATTAATTAGTATTAAAGCCAGCATACCATTTATTTTTAAAACTTTATGTTGAAAAAATAATGGTTCTAGACATTTAAAGAGCTAAATGTTGCTTGTAAGCTAAATTTGTATATTTTCTATATCTAAAAAATGTGTTTACAATAAATCTATACAGTCAGAATATTCTAGTAATTCTGCCCATTCTTCAAAAAGTAATTTATAATAAAGTTGAGAATTCCTTATCTTCAAAATATGTTTAAAATGTTAATTGTTTTTATTCCTTTCTGCTTGGGTAAGTACTTTATCCTCAGAATTCAAACTTTCTTCAGTGGTTGGATGTCTTCCAGTCAGTCAGACTACAGTGCTGCCTTGTCTCATCGTGGGTGCTGAACCTGAGGGTCAGGGATAGAGTGGGACAGGGATAGAGGTGCCTTTGGTCTGACTCCGAACCAGAGGTGCACTTTTCCTGGCAAGAATGCTTTTGGCGAGGATTTTACTATATGCATTGAACACAGAGGCAGTGTATATGCTATGGCAGTATTTGAAAAGGAATAGAACCTTTTTAATTATTTCATTAGGAAATAATGTATTATTATATTATAAAATAATATAGTAAAAAATGCTTGAATAGCTTTAATGCTTATTTTGTAAAGTCTTGTCATTATTTACAAAAGATAATGTTCAGACTATTTTTTTTTTAGAACTTTATAGAGAATGTTTTTGTTTTTTTCTTTTAAGATTTTAGTTTTTTGAGACAGAGTTTCATTATGTACCGTTGGGAGGCCTAGAACTCAGAATTCTGCCTGCCTGCACATCACCACTCCCACTTAAGATTAAGATTATTTTCTTTTTAATTGTATGTGTGTGTCTTTGCACCTGGGTTCAGGTGTTCACAGAGTCCAGGAGAGGGTGGCTCGTTGCCCTCAAGTTGGAGTTACAGGTGTTCTAACCCACCCGCTGTTGGTGCTGGGATTTGACCTAGCTGTTCTGTGAGAGCAGACATGCCCTTTCCAGCCCCCACGTGTGTGACATAGTATGTTAGATGATTACTTTAGGGTTATGCTTTGTAGCATTTCTGTCTTTGTCTCTATCTTCCCAATGTCTTTTAAATTAATTACATGTCTTTTAAATGTAGTTTTCAGGGTGAAAAAGCATTTCTTTGACTTTACTCATTTTTAAATAATATTTGAAATTTGATGATTTTAAGACAAGTTATACTTAAAGAGAAGCCTTTTAAGTTTTTTAAAGCTCTGTTGCTGTAAAAGCTTAGGTTAAAAACAGCACCACTGGTATTTATGGAAGTTTGGTTGCCTTTGTTAGTAGGTAACTTCAAGTCAAGCAGTGCTAACAGCATGTTGTTACACCATCTGTTGTGGCGGCACACATTATTGTGAGGCTCAGCTGACTCTTGATTCTTCCGCTTCTCAGATCTTCAATACTGGCCCACACTTAGTTTTAGCTGGAGATCGTATATGAAGTTTTGCAAATTTGGTTTTTTGTTTGTTTTTAGACCAGGCTGGCCTCAAACTATGTCTCCTGAGTGCTGGGATGGAAAGCATGCCATATCCAAGACAGTTCTTTTTTATTATTTGTTTGTTTGTAGCTGGTCTAGAAACCTGCCTGCTTCTGCTTTCTGATTCTTGGGATCTTAAGTTGTGTACCTCTATGCCTGATATGTAATAGCAATATTTTCTTTTCTTTCTTTTTTTTTTTTCCCCCTCTTTTTTTTTTTTTTTTTTTGTTTTTTTGGACCGTTTTTTTTTTTTTTTTTTTTTTTTTTTTTTTGTAGCCCTGGCTACAAAAACAGAAACTCATGCTATAGACCAGGTTGGCCTCAAACTCACAGAGAACCTTTGTCTTTGCCTTCTGAGTGTTGTAATTAAAAGTATGTGCCCACCAGCCATCTTTTTTTTTTTTTTTAATTTTATTATGTATACAACAGATCTCATTATGTACCAGAACCCATCATAGATGGCCTGAGCCACCATGTGGTTGCTGGGAATTGAACTCAGGACCTTCAGAAGAGCAGTCAATGCTCTTAACCTCTGAGCCATCTCACCAGTCGCCCAGCCATCTTTTTTTTAATGTATTATTATTTGATGTGCATTGATTGTTTTTGCTTGCATGTATGTCTGTGTGAGGGTGTTAAAGCCTCTGGAATTAGAGTTACAAAATCATAAGCTGCCATGTGGAGCTGGGAATTGAACCCAGGTCCTCTGGAAGAGCAGCGAGTGCTTTTAATCACTGAGCTCTCTCTCCAGCTCCAGTGGAAATTTTTATAGACTTTCTTAATTTACTTGAGTTACTAAGCGTCTGATTATTAGTAGTAATTTAGTTTTAGATTACCTTTAATTTTAGTAATGCATCAATTACATTTAATGTTGGAAAAGGATTAGTATTATATAATGTCATTACTGAAATATGATTGTGAACTAGAGTTGTTAATATGTACTGGGCTTAACCAGACTGCTAATTATTTATCCTTCCTATTTATCTCACCAGATGGTGTTGAAACACTGGATTCTGGATGGCTCACATGTCAGACTGAAATAAGATTACGTCTGCATTTTTCTGAGAAACCTCCTGTCTCAATTACCAAGAAAAAGTTCAAAAAATCTAGATTTAGGTATGACTATGCGATTTATTACTTAGGCCATTTAGTTTTGCTGTTACTGTAGATTCCTGGCCTATGTGGTTTTAATCTTCAAAATTATGGGATCTAAGATAATTGTTGTTAATTAGTAAATATTTATTATTGATTTATCTTTTAGTTGAACAGTGGTTATTCCTAAACCAGCTGTATACCCAAATCACCACACAGAGACTAAAATTTATTTAATTAACCTAGAGCACAATGCTGGACAATGATTATTCCATCCTAAACCTCCAAGCCCACATAGCTTCCTCCTATTCAGATTTCCCACATTATACTTGCTTTTTAGTCATTATCTTAGGTCCGGTTCATCCCTCCTGGTTTTTCCAGGTCCTCTCCTCTCCCATCTCTCTCCCCCACTCCTCCCACTCACTTCTTTCTCCTCCCCTCCGGGGATCAGGATATCCCACCCTATTCTCTCCATTACTCAGCATTGGCAATACAGACAACAATATTGACAATACAGAGAACAAATGGAGGCATGTTTGTACAAACTTGAGACAGGTGATGGTTAGAATAAGCATCACAATGCAATGTCTGGATTGAAGCAGATAGTGGAGGAGAGAAATCAGCATGTGAATGAACAAGGGTAAATTGTCCATTATATGTTCACAGATGTTCGTTAAATGTTCACAAGAACATTATACCAACAGATAATGAACTGTTTTTCTCCCTCAAATTGCTGCTACACATATTTATTAGTCTTTACCTCTAAATCTGCAATCAGAAAAATTCATTTTTGTAAAAACATGGTTTCTAGGTTTGTATATTTTTATAGTTCCACTTAAACTTTCGTACTGTAGGGATTACTTTAAAATTGATAAAATAAAAATGATTTTGTGGTGAGCGAGGAAAATGGCATAAACAGACAATGATTGGCCTGAAAGTTTTTGACAGTGAAAAGAGTTGCCCTGTAACCCGAGTCTGCTGCTTTCCTTTTGTACCTTTCTTCCTCCTCTTTCACTGTCTCCCCCCCTCCCCTGCTGCTTCCTTCTCCCTGTTTTAGGGATAGATGAAAAGGCTTTGAAACAATAATAGGTAAATTAGTTTTTCTGTAATACCATTGAACATAAATCTGAGTAAGCTCCTTTCCTCAACATGTAGCTTGCTTTGACTCTTGACATCAATCATGTGATTTTGGGATCAAGAATTCCAAGTTTTGAATTGCAATAGCAAACTTCTGGTACAGTGTCAAGGCTGAGAAGAAAAGTCCGATTTTAGTAACTAGAGACCTTGCTATTATCTTTTAAATATAATTTATAATAGAGGGGTGTGGTGGCGCATACCTATAGTTCTAGTACTCTGAGCAGAGATAGATCTTTGTGAGTTGGAGGCCATACAAATATATGCATGCAGATAATATCCATGCATAAAGACTCAAGTCCTAGCTCGTGCCTATAATCCTAGCACTAGGGAGGCTGAGACAGCAGGATTACTGTAAGTTTGAGGTCAACCTGGGCTAGTATCTGGCCACGTAAGGTACATAATATGAGACCCTATTTCAAAACAAATGAGCGAAACTAAAAATGAAAAAGAAAATGCTCATACAAATAACAAAAGAATTTTTTTCTGTAATAATTTTCTTTAGCAGCTACTTTTTAAAGGTACACTGTGATAGAGAGGAAGTGGCAAGTGTTCAGTTTAAAACATCTATTTCTAACGTATGTTTAAAAATGCACTGATAGACGTGGGCTTAGTGTGTGTTGTGAGATCAATTTATCTGTCAGATCACCTGTGGAAAATGAGACCTTCTAAAAGAGGTCTTGTTATCTGAGGCTAAGTAATTGAGAGCTAGCTATCATTGATAGTATAGTAAATAAATTTGCAGTATGGATAGCCTTTGCTTTTTATCTGAGAACATTTTAAATTTGTATGTACATTCTGTGAGTTCTTTTTACTGTGTTTCATTATTTCCTCTTGTCAATACAGGGTAAAGCTTACACTAGAGGGTCTGGAGGAAGATGATGATGATAAGGTATCTCCCAGTGTTCTTCACAAAATGACCAACAGCCTAGAGATATCCTTAATAAGTGACAATGAGTTCAAGTGCAGGCACTCACAGCCAGATTGTGGGTACGGCCTACAGCCTGATCGCTGGACAGAGTACAGCATACAGACAATGGAACCAGACAACCTGGAACTAATCTTTGACTTTTTTGAGGTGAGTAGTTATTATATTGAGGGACTAGACAAAGAATTCAGGCATGAACTTATTTTTGTATATGGTTAGGTTTTGCACCTTAGGAAAATTTGGAGGAGCAGAATAAGACTGTGTCAGTAGAATTATATTTTAAATCAGG